ATTGGGAGAGGGGGTGAGAACACTCGCCTTCACCAAATAAAACAAGGCCAGAAACTCAGCTGGCTACGTAATAAACAAACTTCGGAGCACGGTCCAACCGACCACGCGGTTGGAGGCCTCCAGTAAACAAGAGCGGAGCGAACGCTACCGTTAACCAAATAGCAAAATATAAGCAAAAAACCACTACTTACCAGTGTTAAATCACACACATAGTAGTCATAAACAACGTCGGAGCACAGTCCAGCCGACCACGCGGTTGGAGGTCTCCTAACAAGCGTGAGCGGAGCGAACGCTACCGCTAACCAACGGCGAAATATAAGGAAAACTACTCACCGGTGTTGAATCACACACATAGTAGTCAGACGCTGTAAGTTGGGAGAGGCGGAAACAGCCGTAGTTCCCAACGAAACAGCAGAAATACCTTTGAACAGGGTTAAACCGTCGCAGCCCTAGGAGGGCGAACACGCTACTCCCGCAGACGGGCAGTCGGGCTTCCGACGACGGTAAAAAGTTCAGAAAAGGTCCAAAGGGCTGAAGCCCTGAATTGAACCGCGCGCGAGAAGAAAATAGGAGCAGAGCAGCGGATGACGTCGGGCTATATAGCCTCTGATTGGTCATCCGTGTCACACCTGTGACTCCGTTGGTATTATTACTCGAATCAGCGCATGCGCGAAGGGAACATTCAGTGCTTTCAGCACCGCCCTCTGGCGGTCAGGAGGGATGAAATAGAACCAGGTTGTAATAAATAAAACCTCAGTGCACCAGGTGAAACTGCTCTAACAGCAGGTGTTACGGTCTGCTCAGGCAGGTTTTAATTATTTAAATTTTACAACTTAATTAATTCTTGAAGGATCTCGTGATGGTTTTGCTGTTCTCAGTTTCCAGAGGCCCCTGTTTGTTCTGGCCGATCGTAACATGGACATGGCCACGCCCCTTCACCACACCTGGACCTATCAGGCGCTGGTCCACGATGTTCTGGTGAGACGTCAATCATCCAGGAGCGAAACAAGACAAACGTTCTCTAAACGGATGAATATCTGTTGGCTCTGAGTGTTGTTAATGACTCCGTCCATAACGTTGGCTGAGCTAAAGACATTTTTACAGATGCTCAAAAAAGAGCAGAAGAGCAGCTAAAGAGAACAGTATGGTAGCTAAAGAGAAGTATAGTGGCTAAAAAGAGAAGAACAACTAAAGAGAGCAGTATAGTAGCTAAAAAAGAACAGCTAAAGAGAGCAGTATATTAGCTAAAGAGAACAGCTAAAGAGAGAAGTATAGTGGCTAAAAGGAGAAGAACAGCTAAAGAGAGCAGTATGGTAGCTAAAAAGAACCGCTAAAGAGAGCAGTATGGTAGCTAAAAAAGAACCGCTAAAGAGAGCAGTATGGTAGCTAAAAAGAACAGTTAAAGAGAGCAGTATAGTAGCTAAAGAGAGAAGAACAGCTAAAGAGAGCAGTATAGTAGCTAAAGAAAACAGCTAAAGAGAGAAGTATAGTGGCTAAAAAGAGAACAGCTAAAGAGAGCAGTATAGTAGCTAAAGAGAGTAGTATAGTAGCTAAAAAATGAAAAGCTAAAGAGTGCAGTATAGTAGCTAAAAAAATAACAGCTATTGAGAGCAGTGTAGTAGCTAAACAAAGCAGAAAGTTTGCCCAGCTTAAAACTCAAAGGAGAAATCAGATTTACGGTAATCTGAATTCAGTTTTATTGTGTCCATCAGGACTTCCACCTCAACAGGGTGGTGTTGGAAGAAGGTGGGGGTGCAGAGGCATCACCTGCTGGTGCTCGACCCAAGAAGAAGACCAAGAAGATGTATGACCTCACTGCTGCTGACCGGTTCTGGCAGAAACACAAGGGCAGGTCCGTTCCTGATCGCTGTGTGTGTTTAAACACGTTTTAGTAACAGTCCAGCTGTTCTGGTTTCATCTCAGCAGGACTTGCATCGTCAGAAGTTTATTTATTGTTCACGTTTCTCTTCACGCATGATTAGCACGAACAGTTCAGTTAGAGTAGGCAGTGTTTGGTGAAGTGCCATTTATTTATTTATATTTTTGTTACAGTCCGTTTCCAGAGGTGGCAGAATCGGTTCAGGAGGAACTGGATTCATACAGAGCCCAGGAGGACGAGGTCAAGCGTCTGAAGAGCATCATGGTGAGATCAATGCTTCCACGTAAATCAGGCATCAATTACCTGACATGACAGTTTAAAATATTTACTTTCTCTGTATTTCATACAAGCATCTTTTCTAATCCTTTAACAAATATTTACACTCATCTAGATTTTACATTCGGATAGACTTTATTTTGAAACGTTAGACTGGACAGACTTTATATACTTTAATCTTACAGTTTTAATCTGTTGTTCGTGTTCAGGGACAGTAACTGTTATGAAAAGCTTTAATTTAAAGAGTTTCTAGATTTTCTGAGCCATCACAGTCACTAACAACTGAACTGAGAGGATAAACAATCTGAGGCTAGGGTGATGGAACCTGACCCGGTCCGACAGCACACCTGGACACTTTTTATTTTTAGTTTAGCCTCTATAGTTCAACTTTTCTTTTACAGTAATACATCTGACCCCTGCTGCCAGAATTTGTCTTGAGGAATTTTTCACCATTGATTTTTTTTATTTTAAAATTCTCCTTTAAAGCTGCAAAATGATCCGTAGTTTGGTGAAATTTGGTAATTTATCAAGTGTCACTGTTTGAAAACTTTTTATTTTTATTGGTCTGCAGTGACGTTATCAAGAAATCTCGTGGCAAAAATGAATAATTTCACATTTTTTGCACCGCAGTCAGCTGATTCTGCAGCACAAGTCACATAATATTAATTAGTTTTATAATTCCTTACATAATATAAATGTATGCCTTTAGTGCATGTGGAGTTGTGGGGATGGTTGGATGTGAAATGATGCCCTCTTGATAAAAACTTTATTATATGTAGTTTATTGATGGAGACAAAGTTGGGACATGGTTTGGAGAAAGTGAACTCCTGCTTTACCACCACAGTCTGATCTTTCATCTCATCATTGCTTATGAACAAGAGCTTCTGCTTCTTTCAGCAGAAGAACCCTCTTCAGGGTCTCCACAGCGAGTCGTCCTCCTCTGTCTCTGTCCTCACTCCAATGTCCTCTAATTGCATCCATTCCTAATGAAGTCTAGAAGATTGTGTCAGTTTTATGTTGAGGAGCTTCAGAAACATGACAGTAGTTACTGAGATGATGCTCATGTTCTGCGGACCTTCTGTTTTTGTGATTTTTAGATGAGTCTCGGTTTAATCGAGTCGTGTTTGTGTCTTTTCAGGGTTTGGAAGGAGAGGACGAAGGAGCCATCAGCATGCTGTCTGACAACACGGCCAAGCTCACCTCTGCTGTCAGGTGCTGTTTGTATTCAATACTTCCCACCTGAAGTAGTTTTGGGTCTTATTCTGTTTTCAGTTGTACAGAAAACAGCTCAGAATGTGAACAAGCCTGAGAGATTAAGGCTCTTGAGTGATTTCAGCATTATTTATTTATTTATTTAATTCTTGGAACTACTCGTAAGCCTGCCGTTTGGTTTGGATGGTTTACTTATTAGCAGTCAGTATCTTACCTGCAGCAGACGGCAGTCTGAATCAGGCAGCTTGTATTAAAATGTTATTCAGTTCAATTCAGTTTATTTATATCGCACCAAGTCACAACAGAAGTCATCTCAGGGCACTGAACAGAAGCATTTATATATAAAAATAATAATTTAACATTATTTATCTGAGGAGCAGACTGCTTTGAGTTTAACTCCATCACAGAACTCTCATCTTGAACAAGCATGAAGGCGACAGTGGAAAGAAAAAAAACTCCCTCATGAGGAAGAAACCTTTAACAGAACCAGACTCAGGACAAGCGGCCATCTGCTTCGACCGGCTGGGGTTGAGAGGAACAGATGCACAATGGCAGGTCAAGAATCACACGTTAAGATAGAAATAAATTAATTGTAATAAATAAATGTATAAATAAATAAATTGTTATGCTACTACCTTAAAATGACTCCAATCCTTAATCTGAGCTACCTTTGCTTCAGATGTGTATTCTTATAGAAGTCTGCGGTTTGTTTAGACTGAACATTTTCTAAACGTCTCATCACAACAGTTTGGGAGACGCTCGGTCAACGTGCTGCAACTGTTGGAGACTAGTTGGTGAAAGGCGCTTGCTGGAGAGTCTAGAGTCTCCACAGTGTCTGGAAACATTTGCAGGGTCCTCGGTTTCCTCGTGTCACTTGAATCTGGTCTCAACTCGTTTAGATTTAGTTTTCTTGATTTGTATAGCACCAGAGCGTTTTCTTTTTTCTTTTTTTTAATTTACTCCTGCAGGGGGCTCTCTTCTGACAGAAAACATCCAAGGCTACAACCCTGAATGTCCCAAGTCTAAAAACCACATCAGAAATAATAAATATTTATTAAGAACTGGTCCAAATCAGTTTATTTTTTATTCTAAAATTAATAATAGTGGGGTACAAAACCGACTGAGGTGGGGACGACGTGGGGCGAGACAGGCAACAAAATAATGTGCACAGCCAAGACTAGTTTTCCAAGCCAAGAACACAAAAATAGGCTGTGGTTCACACACGCTGCTCATAACTCGGTCACTCATTACAAACAACTGAAAATTCACAGATTTTCTCACATTCTGGAGTCACCAACCACTCTGTTTGAGATCCTAAATCTTCAGCGTAACCATCTGATGGAAAAGAATGTCGTGTTAAAGCCAAGGGTTGTATTGCACCTTAAGCAAATGTGATTATGTTGCATTTCTATTGGCTTGTTTTGTTTATCAGATATATAATTTGGACATGTATGGACTAAAATTATCTTTAGTGGAAATAACCATAGACTTCCATGTAAACCAGTAATACAATTTTTGAGATGGAAGTATTTTTAAAATGGTAGAAATCTGCTTTAGACCAAACTAAAATCCCTCTGACTTCTGTCTGCTGCAGGTAAGCTACTGACTCCCCCACTTTTACTTTGTAGGTTTCTGTAGTTTCTTCCTTACAAACTATTAAAGTAGATTAAAAAGCCAACTCTTTAAATAATGGCTCGGTGATGTTGAAAACTGATTGCCTTTGAGGCTTCAGCTGCCAGACTTGTCCATTTTATCTGGGGATCGTGTTACTAAATAAAGGTGAAATGAAATGAAAACACTAAAGTCCTCAGAGCGGATTAGAAGAAAGTTTCTTCTGTTTGTGTGAATATCTGGCTGTAGATTCCTTTTGAGGTTTGGGCTCCTATTCTGTTTTTTTTTCTTCACAATCACCGAGCCAAAGTCGATGATTGCCAAAGTTATGTCGCCGTTTAGCTTAATGCTGTCAGAACGGTTCAGACTGGTAACCAAAACGGACCCTGAAAGAGTTGAGCTTCCTTCAAACTGTAAAATTAAAGAGAAACCTTCTTCATGAAAGTAATAAATTACAAACAATAATCATAAAACCTGATCCAGGTTGTACGACCAAATATTTGCCCTTCTGTATAACAAAAAAAAAAGCACATTTATAGTAAAAACATTTATTTTAGTATTGAGTTCAAAATGCTCATTTGGTCGACTTATCTAACATTTTGGAAACGTCCGATAACAGTTGCTTTGTTTACATAGAGTGCAAACCCACATTTCAGAAATGAATATTAGTTTATCCTGAAAAACCACCGGAGTAAACTTCAAACTGCTCCATTTATTTCCAGTAGTTCAGGAAAATATTGTGTGAATGAGACCAGCAACGTTTTTCTTTGTACTAAAACGTCAACGCTGATTTATTCTAATGTTTTAGTTGTGCTGGTTTTAACTTTGGCTGTGCGATTCAAACACCTCAGATACTTTTGATGGTTCAGTTAAAGAGGAGACGGAGGCAGCTGGAGTGAGGATGGAGGACGCAGAGGACGGAGTGAGACGCTGTGGAGACCCTGAAGAGGGAACAGCTGAAAGATATTCAAAAACTTTTGACTTTTTATTTTTGCTCTTTTCAGTTTTTTTCCCCACTGGTGCTCTGCTCAGCTTCAGCTCTTTCATTTAATTTCAGCCTTTTCCTTTTCTTACACTTATTTAGCTACTTTTAGCTTGTATAAGACTTTTGGCTATTTTTACTTTTGGCTAGCCAGCTGCTAATTGAAGTTTTGACATAATCTTTTTAAATTTTAGCTTTAAGCAAGACTTTCACCACTTTAAGCTTTGGGTTTTGCTACTTTTGAGCTGTTAGCCGGACTTTGTCTGGTTTTAGATTTAAACAGCTTTCTGCTACTTTTAGCATTTAGCAAGCCTTTTGCTGCGTTTAACTTTCAGCTAAGATTTTTCTACTTTGATGTTTTGGTTCATGATTTGTTATCAGTTTCAGCTTCTTCAGCAGCGTTCTCACTGAATTTCACAGGAAAATATATTTTTTTTAGTCTTATGTTTGATTTCTTAATTTCCAAAGCATACCTTTAAACTTCACTGTTTGATGTAAGAAATGGCAGGTTGGCTTTCTTGGACTGAGGTCTCAGTTTCTGATAAAGGACATTTTCAAACTGATGTGTAACGCAAACCCACCCACACAGACCAGTGGTTGAGGTTTAACTCCCATCACCCTCTGGAGCACAAGTTAGGAGTCATCAGGACTCTGTACCACAGAGCAGACAGCGTCCCCACTAACTCAGGAGCCAGGCAGAAGGAGAAATCCCACACAAGACAGGCCCTGGAGCAATGTGGATATCCTAACTGGGCCTTCCTGAAAGCAGAGAAGAAACCCAAACAGGACTCCAGTCAGCCAACAGGTGAAAAGGAGGAACCCAGACCAGTGGTCATTCCGTATGTTGAGGGAGTATCAGAGAAACAGACGTTTATTTTCTAAACATAACGTCCCAGTGGCTTTTAAACCCTAAAATGCATTACGGCAAAGACTGGTTCATCCCCCGGCACAAACAGAGTAATGTTGTGTATGCTGTTCAGTGTCAGGAGGGTGATCAGTCTTACATCGGGGAAACTAAACAGACACTGATCAAAAGGATGGACCAGCACAGAAGATCAACATCATCAGGCCAGGACTCTGCGGTCTACACTCATCTCTAGGCCAGCGGTCACTCTTTCAGGGATGAAGATGTTCACATCCTTGATAGAGGAACATTGGTTTGAGAGAGGAGTAAAGGAGGCCATCTTTGTGAAGAGAAACTGTCCTTCATTAAACGGGGAGGAGGCCTCCGTCTCCAACTGTCCCCCTCTTACAATGACGTTATTGCTAGTATCACTCAGGCCTCTGAATAGCAAGTGGCCGTCAGGGCAATAACAATCAATTGTTAGGCTGATGGTCCTCCTTTATCATGACGGCTAGTTATGACCAACAAACTGGTTGATCCACACTAGTCTTGGTATTATATGATATTTGTAAGACTGAGTTTGTTGCAGCTCCTCAGACTGATGAAGACTTTTGGATAAAAACATGAAACATTTCAACAAGAAGATTCTGTCCGGAGGACCTGACTTAACCAGATTTCATTGTTTGTTCTTTTCTGTAGCTCTCTGCCAGAACTTCTGGAGAAGAAGAGACTGATTGATCTTCACACCAACGTCGCCACTGCAGTGCTCGACCACATCAAGGTGAACGGCGTAACTTCAGGACTGAACCCCGCCTGAGCTTTAATTTAAACCAGATAGGAGCAGAGAACAGGCTCTTCTTTTATTAAGAGCAGACATGTTTTTTTTTACGCGTCTGCTCTTCTATCCTGAAACCTAACCCGCTCCGGCGGGCGATAAAGTAAAATGTGTGCAGCACAGAGTGAGAGCGTTTTGTTTGTTTCCTCTAACTTGATGCTGTTTTTACCTCCAGAGTCGTAAACTAGATGTTTACTTTGAGTATGAAGAAAAACTGATGAGCAAATCTGCCCTGGACAAATCACTGCTGGACATCATCAGTGACCCAGATGGTACACACACACGCGCACACACAATTTAATTCAGTTTACGTTGTCTTCATGTAGTCAATAAAATCAATAAATGTTTATTTTTCAGCGGGGACTCCAGAGGACAAAATGAGACTGTTCCTTATTTACTACATCACTGCTCAGCAGGCTCCTTCAGAGGTACACACAAGACCAGAACTCTAAAACTGGACCAGAACTAACAGGGCTGCACGATGCTGGCGAACATTTATGAGGGAGTCTCTCAAATGTTTCCAAATTGTCTCCTGAATGTCTCTCTATATTCTCCAGAATGTCTCCCGTATGTTTCTAGAATGTTTCCAATTTTCGCATTTTCACAACTTGAGTTCGGAGGTGAAGTCATTAAAGGCGGCGGGCGATACGCATTCTTTTTTTTGTGCTTTGACTTGAAAATGAGGTGAGACTGTTGTAAAAAAAGGTTCTGGAGAGAAATAAAACTGCACAGGTTCTGCACGTTGAAGTCAGCAGAAACTATGAGCTGCAGTGGAAACTAAACCGAGACCACAGAGACAGAAAGCTGGAAATAAAATGGTAAAATGAGCTAACATGGATACCTTTGGTCCCTAACAACTTGTATTTTTGTTTTGGAGACCAAAGCTTCGCTTCTTTGTTTGTTTCCTCCAGCAGAAAGAATTTCCCCACCCTCCATCTTTCAGTTTTCTCTTCCCCGTTCCAGATCCAGGCCTCCTGTCTGTCTTTCAGCCAACCACCTTTCTTTAGAGTCTCCAGGGTCCTGATCGGTTTTCTGACGGATGTGGTGGGTTTTAGTTTTACCAACAGGACCACACTCCCTCAGACACACTAATGCCTTTGTGTCCCCGCTCTCAGTTATGTAACCTGTCCAGATGACGTCACGGTTATTTGTAGACGGTTCAGGCTGCAGCGCCTCCACCAGCGTCTGATATTTGGATAATTTGGAGTGAAGGAGAAACTTTGAGCTTCAGCTGCGTTTTATTTTGTTAAAAACGGCAACTGAAGTTGGCACGAAGACGTACTCAACTGAGTCGGCTCAATGTTTTAAATTTTCTGTTCACTCTATAAGTTTGTGTCCAACAGATGTGACAGAAAGTAGAACGTTCCTTGAAGGAATGCATATCACCCGCCACCCTCGGTGCTGGGATTTTAGACCAAAATCATATTGGATTGAATTGTAGCCATTTTTGGTCAAACCTCATGAAGACATTTTGTGTAATCTTGTAAGATGGTGCTCAGAGGATCTCATGGAGATGACTCGGCTACCACCACACCAAATGTTGGTGATTATTGTCGGAAAGTTTCATTCAATACCATCAAACGATTCATGATAGATCAGTTTATGGTTCAGTTTCAATTAACTTTGTTACCCACTTCATGTTTTAAATGTTCTTTTTATTGCAGAAGTGAAACTAGATTGTTTTTCGATGGATTTTAACATTAAGCTTCTACTCCAAACGGTGATTGAAATAATTTCCTCTGTGTTTCAGTCTGACTTGGAGCAGTATAAGAAGGCCTTGATGGAGGCAAACTGTGACCTTTCACCTCTCAACTACATCAAACAGTGGAAGTAAGTCTTAAGACAATTCTTCTAATTCTGGTCTCTGGAGCAACAGATCCAGGAAGAAACTCTGTCACCCAGGTCACTTTTCAGAACCGCCTGAGGCTTTCACAGAAAGACCCAGGACTAACATGCGAGTTCTGCATCAGAATCTGGTCCAGTTTGTCCTGCCAGCAAGACTTCTGAAGAGAAGCAACATGGAAGCATCCTTACACAGGCCTGAATTTAAAAAAGTGTGATTACCTTCACTCTGAAGGAGGTTTTCATATTAAATGTCATCTTCTGTATAGCTCATATGACATATCCATGTTTTCCTAATGGAGCACTTCACTCTCGGACTGCAGGTTTACTTTTGGTTTCTAGAGTTTCCAAAAGTAAAATGGGAGGCAGAGCTTTTTTATCAGTCCCTCTCTTGTGGAACCAACTTCCTTTCTGTACGTGAGGCTGACATTGTCTACTTTAAGTTTCCTATAGTTAGGGCTGGCTTGGGTTTCCTGAGCTATCCCTTAGTTCTGCTTCTATAGGCTTGGATGGCTGGAAGACAAACTGACCACATTTCCTCACTCTGCTGATGCATTTGCTCACTCTAATCTCTATTTGTATTTGTAAATATTTGTCATTGACATGTTTTTCTTCACATTGGACTATAGAAACTACACCCAAACTATAAAAGCTACACCCAGACTACAGAAACTACACATGGACTACAGATTCACATTCAGACTATATAAAAGACCATACATCCAGACAATAGAAACAATTGCATATTAAACTATTACATGTTACATATATACACCTGCTCTATAGAACCTGCACAATAGGAACGGCACCTGCACTATAGGAACTACACCTGGACTATAGGAACTACACCTGGAGCAGCCTTTCTGTGTTTGTTTGTTTGTCTCTTTCTTGTCCTCTCTGACCCAAGTAGATCGAGGCAGATGACCGCCCATCCTGAGCCTGGTTCTGGTTCTGCTGGAGGTTTCTTCCTGTTAAAAGAGAGTCATTCCTTCCTACTGTCTCTGAAGCGCTGCTCAGAAACCGAAACATTTACCATATTTTCATACTGCTTTTGTGTTAGGGCTCATGTTTTGATGAATTATTTGATCATTGTTGTTTAAAATGTCAAACCATGGAGATAAATACACCTTCAATGTTCTAAAGGCCCATTTTGAATGTCCTTAAAATGTCCAGAACACAAAAACTGTAATTTTATTGGATTTGAATCAAAGAAAACTGGTCAGTTTTTGAAATGTAATGGCTTCCCTTTGAGCTTTTATTACGTTATAAGCCACACAGTAAGGAGCTCTCTGAACAAATGTTCTTAGACTGAGTTTAATTCAATCAATGTATATCAATGTAAATTAAGTTTTATTTTTTTTATATTTTTTTATAGAGCTTTTACCAAAATGGCCACCAACCCAGCCAACTACGGCAGCAGTGGAGTCAAACCAATGGGGTAAGTCGGCAACAGCAGGAAATAATTTTAAATTCAACAATTTAAGACAAAATGTTATTGTTAAATACTTTTTGAAGATTTAAATTTTGGACTTCATCAGCAAATCTAAGGAATGCATATCACCCATCACCTCCTGTGATCTGTTCACATGTTGGGATGACTCTCAGATACTACCACACCAGATTTGAGCTCATTATCTGTAAAATCGACAGAGTTGGAGCCCCTGTAGTGTTTTTAAGATCAGCTGGCCGTGGCAGCCATCTTGAATCTGGTTGGCTCCAAACATTTTCATGGTGGCAGACAATAAAAAGTGTTATTAAATATATAATATATAAAAGTAAAATTGTTGTGGTAGTTTTGTTATTGTTACAGTAACCTGTTGGCGTTAACACACCTGAGCCAGCAAAATAGTTGAGTTAGCTTGTCGCTAAGTTTGTTTTGTGGGTCGTGAGATAAAAACTTTAAAACCGTTTCGCTACATAAGTAGATTATGATTCCATATTAATTATTACAGAGTTTCAATAGAAACCCCTCCACTGGTTCAAGAGATATTTTGCTAACAGACACGTGTCATAAATTACACGATTTCATTGCAGCAAATGATAAATTGCTAAATGAAATAAAAAGCAATAATATGGTAATTTTTTTAATTCAACCTGTATTTACACAGATTAGTCTCTTTGAGTCACGAGGACTCATTTTTAAGAGAGACCTGTTTTATACAAACCACAGATAAGATGCACACAACAATAAACAGCCATAAAATGCATGTAGTAAATAAAAGTAATTAATTTTAATCATGCAAAATTTCCCTAAGTTACATAAGTACAAAACCTAACAAATTAATTTTAGTGATTGCATCGTTGAAGTTACTAACCTTTTATTGTAATTGCATAATAATAATCTGACGGATCACCATCATAACCCTGTACTCCTCCTCTTCCTCTGTTTCTCCTTCCTCGGCTCCACCACCTTCTCCTCCTCCAGCCTGTTCTCCAGAGTCATGAATACTGGCTCCCAGTTTGTCATGGAGGGCGTGAAGAACCTGGTGCTCAAACAACACGTGAGGGGGAAAAAACATTTTCAACAAATCTCTTCAGACAAAATATGACAGAACTCTACTCCAACACTTAAATCTGCAAATACACACGGAAACAAACCTGTTGCCAGAGAGCCGGACCAGTTACAGCCCAGTGAGACCTTAAAGGGACAGTCCAGCTATCTTTGAAGTGATGTTCTAATAGTTGTCAACATTTGGTTCCTCATCAGCTGCGATATCCATCATACAGTTCTCTGTACCCAGTTTAATTGTGTTCTTAGGCAGATTTATTCTTCTGTGTTTTTAAACATACGTTTAATTTAATTACGAAGTTTATTTTTATATTTTGTTTTAGTTAAAGTAAAGAAAAGAGTTTACTCTTCAGAAAGTGGTTTCCTCCTGATTTAAAGAGGTTTTGATTGGCACTAAATTACCATTTTAGATGTGAAATAAAACTGACACAAAGAAAAGTCATTTAAAAAAAATTTTTTGTTTGTTTGTTTGTTCATTTTAGGAAATCTGTATTTTTGTGTTTTCAGAACCTTCCGGTCACTCGGATCCTGGACAACCTGATGGAGATGAAGTCTCATCCTGTGAGTTTCGTTGGACATTACCTGCTTTTGTTTACATGTTTATTTGTGTTTTAGGAATAAAACGCATAATATAATTCATAGTACTGTCACCGTTTAGTAATTTTCTACCTTTGTTGGCACATTTTCAAGTTTTTACGTGGATGACATGATGCAATTTAGAAAATTATGATGTAGTATAATGTCAGTTTATGTCATTTCACTGCAATATTACAGCACCTATAACAAGTATTCACCCCCTTGAAGTTTTATGATTTTATTTTTGTCATAAATCTGTCATGGACACTATGAACTTCTTTCCAAAAACAAAGAAAGTAAAAGCAAATTTCTACAAGGTAATACTAAATAAATTATAAAAATGTAATTTAAAATAGCCAGGGGGTGATACGAAAGGATTCAAGATCCTAAACATCCCAGAGTTCTGTTAAATTCATCATCATGACATGGAAGGAACATGGGAACATGTGTAAATCTACCAAGAGCGGTGACTGGAGGAGGAGAGACTGGGCTAGAAAGATTTAATCTGTTATCTTCATTACGGTCTATTAAGAATTGGAGCAACAGTTGTTGTATGCTCAGTCTCTCCCATCTCACCTGCTGATGATTATAGCTCCTTCAGCGTGGTCTCAGGGGTCTCTGTTCTCCTTCACGGTCACTCAATTTTTGAGGACGGCCTGCTCTTGGTAGATTTACACGTGTTCCCATGTTCCTTCCATGTCTTGATGATGGATTTAACAGAACTCTGGGATGTTTAAGATCTTTTGTCTCCACCTCTGACTTGTTCTTATGAATATGGGTACATGCATTTCTAAAGGTATAGTTTGTAAAACCCACATTAATGCAATAAATGTTCATATGAATCAAACATTAAACTGTTAAATGCGCAACAAACTCTTGATTGATCGGCCGTGTTGTGCAGTGCGAGTCGATCGGCTCTGGTCTCGTTGCGTAACTTTATAAATTACAGCGTAAATCCTAAAACTACATCAGAACCTTTAAGCTCACTCGTCCTCACGGTGAATCAACCTCACACTGCAGGTTTCTCAGCATCTGGTGTTACAGAACACCAACAAAGATCCTGTTGTCACACTGAGGAGGAGGAGGAGGAGGTGGGGGGATGAAGATGAAAAGGGTAGAGGAGCACATTCTCTCCTTATCAGATTGTTCTCGCTGTTTGATTGTGGTTCTTCCCTCATTTTGGGATTGTGTTCGGGGTAAAGATTTCACAGAATGTCCGAGGAATGTCCATGTGGGAAACTGAACACAAACTAAGTTTTTACTTCACCCTCCTGCTGCCCTAAGGTCAAACAACCCACGAGGCTTTAACGCTGAGGCCTCATGGGTCATTTTGACCCTAGGGCAGCAGGAGCGTTAATCCCCTTTTAGAATTACAAACATGGAATTCTGATTTTTAAAAATGTGCTGTAGATTAATATTAATCAGATTAAACTCTTTTATGTTTCCGTTATCTTTTGTCACACAACTGTTGCACTTTTAAAGTAAATTTTACTAAATCTGTCAGTGGGCAAGAATAAAACATGCAAAGATTAGAGTTCTGTAAGTCGTGCACACGAAAACCGGTCGGCTATTTTAAGTCGACAAAACTCTGCTGTCTCCGTTTTTATCGTGGATCGTCAACCTTTCTCTTAAAAACAAGAACCTCTGAACCAGATAGCGAAGCGCTCCAGTAAGCTGACGGGAGAACTGCAGCTGAACCCAGAATCCTGTGCTCCAGGCAGGTACCGAGGGTACATGGATCCATTTTAACAGACGAGCCTCGTCCTCTGCGCTGCGAGCTCCAGCCCAAATTTAAAACCAAACGTTTTAAAACCAGCTCACAATGAATTCAAACTCTAAATCTGTGTTTCTAAACGTTAAAATTCTTGTTGCAGTAACTGTGCAGATTCTGTATACAAATATATTTCAGTTTGCTGCCGTCATCTTTTGGTGACTCCGTCACACAAAGCCAAATAAATCAGACTAAACTCATGTTTTATAAAAATCTGCAGCTGAGAACAAGTTAAGACAGCTGATTTAGTTTTTCTTGGTCTTGTTTTCCAGGAAACTGATGACTATCGATACTTTGACCCAAAGATGCTGCGAGGCAGCGAGAGGTCAGAGAACAATCACATCTGATTATCAGCAGAAGTTTGACCAGAACTGAACCAAGTCCAGCTTTGATATTAAATGACTGAAAGCTCTGGGACGGCTCATCATCTCTTCTATTTCTTCTTTCAGCTCCATTCCCAGGAACAAAAACCCGTTTCAGGAGGTGAGTTTCACTCAGAGCCGTTTCCAGGACAAACACGAGCAGAAAGAAAATACGAGACAGACTGGAAAAGGTGCCGAGAGCCAGAAATGAGATCAGACCGCTTCTTTATTTTGTGAGGATTCTAAAGTCCTTGCAGGATCTCAGGATGAGGATTGTTTTAATCTCCCTCTGTATTAATTCACAGGATTGTGACGCATGTAAGAGTTTCAATTGAACTCTTTTTGGTCATTTGGAGACGTTTTCAGTCAAACATCAGAGGAGAATTTCTGCCTCAACTCTCAAAACCCTCGTTAAATACAGCCTCATACCCGCTATGATTTATTTTTTAAACTCTTATTTTCCTACTCTGACAAACCTGGATCAGATGTTTGAATTAATCAGTTTAAAGCAGGTGTGTTGCTTTAAAATCTGATATTTTAATCATTTTCCGCAGCCACTTTCTGTTTGTCTCCAGAGTAAAGTTACGTCTCATTTTCATCGCTCTAATGAACAAAAGACCAGGTCCAATTGTTTTTGTTTTTGTTGTTGGCAAATTATTTAAAAAAATCTTTAAAATTCCTCCTTTACTTTGAAATGTTTTCCTTTAAACTCACCAAGGATGAAAGACGTTTAAAGAACAGATACAGGAGATGTTGTAATGCTCTGCTCTGTTTCAGGCCATAGTGTTTGTGGTTGGAGGAGGGAACTACATCGAGTACCAGAACCTGGCGGACTATGCTAAGGTACCAAAGGGCCGTCGATCTGTTTATTTAAAGCTGTGCTACTTCTCTTTGTTTGGGCTCAATAAGTCCAGTTCTGTTCCCATTTAAGATGATTAAAAAGAAACATTTCTAGTTGGTGTGATTCTGAGACCCTGGTTCTGGACCGGACAAAGGAAGAATGCTTCTCTGGGTGGGGTTGAGTTTTTGCTTCAAGCAGAGGAGTTCAGGTATCTGAGAGTCTTGATCCTGAGCGGGAGATGGACCGACGGATTGGAGCCTCGTCTGCAGTAATGAGGGCGTTGCTCCGGTTTTCTTGATATAAATCGTGACCCAAAGAACAACATCCTGGATCCAAGCAGCTGAAATAAGCTTCCTCCATAGAGCAGCTGGGCTCAGCCTTTAGCTCGTTACAAAGAAATGTGTTCTTTTCGAGCTGACGATGAAGAACAGAATCAGTTTGATGTGGACATTTTATACTTTAGAAGAAACTGAAGCGCAGAACTCCTCATGAGTTCTCACAACGCCCTCCCACTGCAGGACCGACAACACTCTGTCTGAACACGTAATTCAGTCTTTAAGAATTTTTAGGCAAAGTAATGTTTTTTTTTGACAAGCTCTCCTGTTTGCGTATTTGGTCATCCTCTTCTATAAATTAGACATCTTTATAGACGTGCTGCGTAGATTTCCATACTTCCTCGCTGCCTCGTCCAGCTGCTCCTCAACACTCTTTGTCCAAACGTCTGCACCACCAGAAGTACGGGAACGTAAACGTTTCCAACTAATCACAATATTTCTCAGACACCACAGAGACGAAACATTCTGTCCAGATGTGTCGACATCGAGCTGCAAGAACTCAGAGGGTTTCTCGCTTTTAGAGATGAGGTGAGGAGCTCCACACGGGGAGCTCGGAGTGGAGCTGCTGCTCCTCATCATAAGGAGTCAGCGGAGGTGGGATGTCTCCTGGTCACCTCTGGAGGTTTTCCAGACCCAGACCTCTCTGACCTGGGTACACTTTAGGATCCTTCAGCAGGACCTGGAGGGTGTCGTAGGGGAGAAGGAGGTCTTGGTTTCTCTCCTGGACCGGCCCACAAATAAGTGGAAGAAGACGGACGGATCGTCCTTCAAAGCTTCAGTCCCACTGACCCAAGAGCACCCGGTCCGTTTGTTTAAGAACATATTTTCTGTTTGAGCAAAGAAATGCAGCTTGGAAGGGAGATCCGATTAAAGCGTCAAGGTTTAGTTTTAGAATCTATAAATAAAAGTTTAACCATAACAGAGTTTATATTGAGACGATCACATGACTTGCTAATGTTTTTTTGTTTTTTTAAGTCCAAACCAGGGAGGAAGATTATTTACGGCTGCAGTGAACTTTTCAACGCTCCTCAGTTCATGAAACAGGTAAAAATCGTCTGCAACGACCGAACCTGTTGGATTTCACCACCCGCTGACTTGTTTTTACTTTTGTCTCCGCAGCTCGCTCAACTCGGACAAAAGTGACCAACAGCATTATAAATATTAGTTTCATGTCCTTTTCTCTTCCTCCTTTTGTTTTATATCGTTTTTGTAAATCGTCTAAACCTCTTCTGTCTCTGCTCACTCAGTCATAATAAAACTAAACAACCTCTGTCGCCTCCGAGTCGTTTATTCTGTCACGTTTTAGCATCAAAGTTTGTAAAACACAGGAGGTGAATGATTTTACCGTAGGATGGTAAAGTTGTGTAACAGTTGTCTTCGTGTGTGTCTGGTAATCTGAGCTCTCTGCTCTGTTTTGTGGCAGAAAGGATGACACGTGATTTTCCTCCACGTGTTTAAGTTTCAGAGCCGCACACAAAACCCAGACCCACTCCGGTTTGGAGCCTGGAGGGTCCGCACCAAGTTTCCGTTTTGGCTGAACACCTTCACAGCATGATCAGGTGGATGTCTACACATTTCCCCCTTTCCTTCTGTCTTCACTGTTCTGACATGATGTGACGATCATTTTTCTCCTCATGAATGCTTTAACTCTAATCTGAAGAGATTTGAATAAACTAACATGTTCTGATGCATGCTCAATAATCCAGGTAGAAACATCTGACAAGGTTAAGTCAGGTCCTCAGGACATATTCTTCTTTGTTGAAATGTTTCGTCAACAAAAAAGAAGAACCCAGACCAAGAACAGTGGTCGTTCCGTATGTTGCAGGCGTTTCAGAGAAACTGAGACGTTTATTTTCTAAACATGACATCCCAGTTTTCAAGCATCAAAATACATTCCGGCAAAGACTGGTTCATTCCAAAAATCCAGTCCACTGACACGAGTAATATTGTGTATGCTGTTCAGTGCCAGGAGGGCTGTGATCAGTTATACATCTTAGAAACAACAGCCACTGGCTAAAAAGATGAACCAGCACAGAAGAGCAACATCAGGCCAGGACTCTGTGGTCTACACTCATCTCCAGGCCTGAGGTCACTCGTTCAGGGATGAAAATGTTCACATCCTTGATGGAGAGGAACGTTAATTTGAGAGAGTGAAGGAAGCCATCTTTGTCAAGAGAACTCATCCATCATTGAACGGGCAGAGGCCTCCGTGTCCAACTGCCTAACTGTGAATAGCAAGCAGCCATTAGGACACTACCGATAAATCATTAGGCTGATGGTCCTTCTTTTGTATGTGAACAACTAGTTCTGGCTGTCACCAGCAAACTGGTTGATCCACTATGAGAAGGTGCTGCTTATAAAACTGGGTTTGTTGCAGCTCCTCAGACTGAAGAAGTATTTTGGATAAAAGACGAAATGTTTCAAGAAAAAAGCTCTGGCTCTAACGCGGCCTCATGGACACCTTGTGGGTCTGTCTTCACTCTGAGAGAGGAGGTGGAGCGGCAGCGTCCATCTTTTATACACGTAATGGTGAAAAAACAGCACAGTGGGTTGCAGAAGTAGTCCATCCCCCTGGTATTATCTCTGGTGTTTAACAGTCTGAAATTTAAATGAACATTTTCAAATTGATTACTAGCAAAAAAAAATCCTCAAGGATATGTACAGGTGCTGGTCATAAATTTAGAATATCATGAAAAAGTTTTTAAATGATTCAATTAAAAAACGTTAAACTTGTATATTATATTCATTCATTACACACAGACCGATATATTTCAAATGTTTATTTCTTTTAATGTTGATTATTATTACTGACAACTAATGAAAACTCCAAATTCGGTATCGCAGAATATTAGAATATTGTGAAACGGTTCAATATTAAAGATGTCTGGTGGTGCCACACTCTAATCAGCTAATTAACTCAAAACACCTGCAAAGGCCTTTAAATTGTTTCTCAGTCTAGTTCTGTAGGCTACACAATCATGAGGAAGACTTCTGACTTGACAGTTGTCCAAAAGACAACCATTGACACCTTGCACACGGAGGGCAAGACACAAAAGGTCATTGCTAAAGAGGCTGGCTGTTCACAGAGCTCTGTGTCCAAGCACATTAATAGAGGTGAAGGGAAGGAAACGATGTAGAAAAAAGTGTACAAGCAATAGGGATAACTGCACCGTTGAGAGGATGGTGAAACAAAACCCATTCTGACATGTGGGGGAGATTCACAAAGTGCACTGCAGCTGGAGTTGGTGCTTCAAGAACCACCACGCACAGACGTATGCAAGACATGGGTTTCAGCTGTCCCATTCCTCTTGTCAAGCCACTCTTGAACAAGAGACAGCATCAGAAGCGTCTCGCCTGGGACTGCTGCTGAGTGATCCAAAGTTATGTTCTCTGATGAAAGTACATTTTGCATTTCCTTTGGAAATCAAGGTCCGAGTCTGGAGGAAGAGAGGAGAGGCACAGAATCCACGTTGCTTGAGGTCCAGTGTCAAGTTTCCACAGTCAGTGATGGTTTGTGGTGCCATGCCATCTGCTGGTGTTGGTCCACTGTGTTTTCTGAGGTCCAAGGTCAACGCAGCCGTCTACCAGGACGTTTTAGAGCACTTCATGCTTCCTGCTGCTGACCAACTTTATGGAGATGCAGATTTTGCTTTCCAACAGGACTTGGTACCTGCACACAGTGCCAAAGTTACCAGTACCTGGTTTAAGGACCATGGTTCTTAATTGGCCAGCAAACTCACCTGACCTTAACCCCATAGAAAATCTATGGGGTATTGTGAAGAGGAAGATGTGATATGCCAGACCCAACAATTCAGAAGAGCTGAAGGCCACTATCAGATCAACCTGGGCTCTCATAACACCTGAGCAGTGCCACAGGCTGATCGACTCCATGCCACGCCGCATTGCTGCAGTAATCCAGGCAAAAGGAGCCCCAACTAAGTGTTGTACATGTTCATACTTTTCATGTTCATACTTTTCAGTTGGCCAACATTTCTAAAAATCCTTTTTTTATTGGTCTTAAGTAATATTCTAATTTTCTGAGATACTGAATTTGGTGTTTTCATTAGTTGTCAATTATAATTATCAACATTAAAAGAAATAAACTTTTGAAACATCGTTATGTGCGTAATGAATGAATGAATATACCAGTTTTACTTTTTGAATGTAATTACTGAAATCAACTTTTTCATGATATTCTAATTTTATGACCAGCACATGTACATTTCTTCTTTGTCTTTCGGCTGCCCTCTTATCGGGTCACCGCATCGAATCATCTGCCTCCGAGTCCACCTTCCATCCACACCCTGCTGGTTAACAGTCGACGTTAACCCGGACAAATCGTGTTGGGCAGTCAGCTCCTTTAGGGCTTGTACATGATCCAGTAGAGCAGTCGTATGTCCACCAGGGCTGTCATAGATCCTGTAGAGCAGATGTAGGATCCTGTCCAGGCTTGGGAACAGCACCAGAAGTACACAGGTTTATTTCCAATGGCAGGTTTTCACAATAATACTTATGGTTATTAATGTTTATTGGGGATCAATCAGTCCATCCATCCATTATATTTACCTGTTTCTTCCTTTCCGCGTCACGGGCCTGGCTGTGTCCATGTTTTTACCTGGTTCTCCTTAAACCGGTGGAGTGTTCTCCAGTTGTGTTCAGGGTCATTGACCTACTGGAAGGTGGAACTTCATCCCTTTTGTAAACCTTTAGAAGACTTTTTAGAAGAACAGGTTTTCTTGAGTAATTTCTCTGTATTTTGCTCCAACATTCCTTGAATTCTGACCCGTTTCTCGTCTGCTGATGATAAACATTCCCAGAGCATGATGTTACCATCACCGTGCTTCAGTGTGGAGATGGTGTTCCCCAGCATGATCGGAGGTGGCAGGTTTGTCCTCGATGGTGAGACATTTCAGTTTTAGTCTCATCCGACCACAGCACGTTCTTCCACAGGTAGGAGAGTCTCCAGTCTCAGTTTTGACAAATTCCAAATAACACTGTGACTTTGTTATGATTTAAAGGTGGCTGATCAAAACGCACACAAAGCCAGCCTGAAGGAGATTATCCCGTTTGTTCTTTGGACATTTTGTCCCAAGGTGGCTGCTGAACACTTGATACAACAGTTTTAACCAAGATTTGACAAAATGCTGCCTTTATTTCATCTCATAATATTTCAAATACAGAAAACTCAAACACAGCAACACGAACAGGCAGCACAAAATGTTGGCTCCTGGCCAAACAGCTTCCAGCAAAAAGACCAAAACTTACATAAGAGTTGAGAATATCAGATGAAGAGCTATGGTTTGCATTTAGCCTTCATTAAACTGTGGGACGTGTAGATAAATGCAGTTCTGTTGAAAATTATATTCTCTTCCTGAGTGATTAAACCGATCAGGAAAACAAGTGAGACGTTTCATACGACACCTCGGCGCTGCAGAGATTTCACACCGAAATGATCCCGATTCATAGAAACGGACCTGGCAGCTGGACTGTTTTGACTGAAGCTCCACTCTGATGGAAAAGAGTTCTGCTGGGAGTCAAAACAAACCCCATCAGAACCAAAATGCAGGCATTTAAACCACGAGATTAGCTTTTAATTTAAATCTGACACGGTCGAGCAGATTTTCACTTCCACATCTGTTTCTAACCAGATACCTAAACAGGTTTGAAAACCGTGACAAAATGTGTTTTTTTTTTTTTTACCAGCTGCATTCCTGCCTGAAAAAGTTTCTTCGCCCTTCTCATTTTACCGGCAGCGAGCTGGCAGCAGCTCAGACTGATCCTCTGACTGCTGCTGGCTGGGCTCACAGAGAAGACATTACTTGCCTAATTAAAAAAAGAGATTAAAGGAATGCATATCGCCCGCCACCTCGCATGCCAGAACTAAAGGGAAGTTGGTCATTCGGCTGCTGACACCAAAGGTTGGAGCCAGTTGGAGTTTGCTGATTGTGATTAGATTGAACTGGGTTAATCAGGGGAGCTGCTGGTTTTCTCCAATGGTCATTGTGGAGAGGCGGGGGACACCTGGACGTGTCTCTGGTCCATCACTGGGCTGACCAGAGTTTAGAGCAAAGATCTTGGATCGAGCAGTTTGCTGGAACCTTCTTGAGGCTGACTGAAGCTGCTTCAAGGCTTGGATAGATTCCTGCCATGTCTGAAGCTGCAGTCCTCCTTCAGGAGGTGTGTGAAACAAGCAAGCCCTTGAAGCTTCAATCACCACTGGAGTCCATCAACAGGTCCTTCAGCTGCTGCTGCAACCTTCTGGACACGGCCTTTGGTGTCCAAATCCCTGAACTTCTTGGAGATGTGTGAGAAACCTTCCCAAAGGTGTGAGCTACAGATCTCAGGATCAGAGTCCTCTGCCAGATGTTTCTGCTTCTCATCTGGGTCTGAGTCCACCAGGCAACCATCCTGGACCAGACACGGTTCAAACACACCTGAGGTCAGTTCATTACCTCCAAGTTACCAAATGTAAACTTTTTTTAATTCATGCTGACATTTAGTTTTGTTACAGCTTATTTTTGTAACCAGTTAAGAGTTTTAGTTTCTTCTCAGGCTAACCTGTCTTAAGCCCCTCCCACCTCTGTAGTGTGTGTGTGTGCGTGTGTGTGTGTGTGCGTGCGTGTGTGTGAGACAGAGCTTATTTAAACAGCTCGATCTCCTTCACCAACAGACTGACACCAGCTGATCTCCTCTTCAGGGACTCCTGATCGTCTGAAGAATTTATCGGTAAGATTTGACACAAATCATCACCAGCCAGCTGAAAAACTCA